CTGCGTGGCGCAGTCGGTTAAGCGTCCGACTTCAGCCAGGTCACGATCTCGCAGTCCGTGAGTTCGAGCCCGGCGTCAGGCTCTGGGCTGATGGCTAGGAGCCTGGAGCCTGTTTCCAATTCTGTCTCCCTCTCTCTCTGCCCCTCCCCCGTTCATGCTCTGTCTCTCTCTGTCCCAAAAATAAATAAAAAACGTTGAAAAAATTAAAAAAAAAAAAAGAAATAGAAAATCTGAATAGATACACAAGGTAAAAGTGAATCAGTAGTAAACTTCCCCAAAAGTAAAGACCAGGATCAGATAACTCTACTTGGTGATTGGTGAATCTAACTTTACTAGATTGGTGAATTCTACCAGTCATTGAAAAAATGAAAGAGGAAATATGACATTACACATTCCATGAAGTGAGCATTTTCCTGATTGCAATACCAAGAAAGACAGGGTAGAAAGAAAACTACAGGGTAATACCTGCTATCAATATGGATGCAGATATTCTAAACAAAACAGTATCAACATATTAAATGATTATTACCACAATCAAGTGGAATTTATCATAGGATAATATCATAGGATAATTTATCATAGGATAAATGCATAGGCATTTCAGGTATATGGTTAAGTCTCTATTTGTTAGGTTCATGGTCTGAGTTTAAGTTTTCCCTTTCTTCTTTCCTATTTCTATCTAGCATTTAGTACCTCTCAGATATTGTGCTGTTGGTCAAGGTGAGAAATAGCCATAGTGTCTGTCCTAATAAGGTTTTTAATGAGACAAGGAAGACAAATATTGAAAAAAGTGTTTTATTTTTTTTTAATTTTTTTTTAACGTTTATTTATTTTTGAGAAAGAGAGAGACAGAGCATGAACGGGGGAGGGTCAGAGAGAGAGGGAGACACAGAATCTGAAACAGGCTCCAGGCTCTGAGCTGTCAGCACAGAGCCCGACGCGGGGCTTGAACTCACGGACTGCGAGATCATGACCTGAGCCGAAGTCGGCTGCTTAACCGACTGAGCCACCCAGGTGCCCCTGAAAAAAGTGTTTTAATGCATGGATAGTGATTATTTCAACTGTATTACATAGTTGAAATTACTAAGAGTCTAGGTCTTACATGCTGTCACCACCTGTAACAGTTATGTTTAGTGACAGAGGTGTTAGGTCATGTTGTGGTGGTAATCATATTGCAACATATAAACATCTCAAAGCATTTACACGATATTAAATTTAAACTTACACAAATTTGTAGTACAATTATATCTCAAATTTAAAAAGAGAGAGTAGTAAGAAGAATGTTGCACAAAGGGTGTCTTGCCTTTCCTAAGCACTCCACAGTAGATGAGCATGAGAATACCGTTCAATTTTAGGTAAGAGTTAATGTGTCAGTAACGTGTTAAACCCTGAGATAAGAAAGTCAGAAAGCAGCCCACTCTGGATGAGTCAGCAGTGGAGCTTGCTTAAAACATCTTTAGGTAGAACCCAGAGTCTGGCGTGCTCACTCCTTGATTCCTCTTCTCAGCTCCCGGTCCCCGCCTCTACAGGATTCAAACTGCTTGTTTTGAACTCTACCCAAGGTCCTCCTCACCAAGAAGTCAGCCGACTACGCCTGCGCAGTAAAACGAAGTTGTTGGGGGCGAGGTGTGGGCCTGGCGGAGGCACGGAAAAACTACGTCAACAGCCCTAACCCCTTTGGCCGACCGCGCAGCCGCACTGTTGAGGCATCTCTGCGGTGGTTGGTCCAAATAACTGTCAGTCACTTTCAGGCTGGTGGCCATCCCGCACCGCCGTCCGAGTAGTTGCAGCGCCACCGCCACCGGGAAGAGGTTGGAACCGCCTAGACTTGGCAGTCGCCACCATGCCCAAGAATAAAGGTAATCCGCGGATAGCCAGACCAAAGTTCTCCCTGACCCCTGTCCTCGGCCTAGACTTGACACCAGGACCCAGTGACCATTCTTCCTTCCCACTTGACCTGGCCCAGCAGGGTAGCTGGGACGCTCTTCGCGAGTACAGTTCGGTTACTTCGGGCTGTAGCCGACGCTTATTTATGTACGGCCTTCAGCGAGAGAAAGTGAGCTTTTCCGACGGCTTCGCGTGAGAGGGGCCGCGGAGTCTTAGGGATTTGGGGGGGGGGGGCACTCCTTTGGAGGTTAAGTGTTTCCTAAGCTGGACTTTTTTGTTCTTTACGGGACTGTACAAGAGAGGGTCTTAATTTTAAAGGATGATTCCTGCTTTTGTGACTCCAGATGCTCTTCATGGCTTTCTTTGGGGACAGTTCATTATTTTTGAAGATAGTACCTCTTTCTTCTAAACAGTAGGTGAAACCTTGATGCCTATATGGGTTCATCTATAGGGGTTTACTTTTTCTCAGCCCTTCACGGTTTGACGCTCTTTTCCAGAAGACGTGTTGACATAATTTACCAAAGTTTTGTACCTTTGTTTCCTGTAACAAAGTAGAAGTAAAGGTTTCTATCTGCCCTTATTCTGAGGCAAACCTTTCGCAGGTTATCAGATTTAAGAATAAGTGTGTTTTGAATTGACAAAGTGGGAGGCCTAACCTGCGTAAAACAGAATATTTGAGGTGTGGAACACCTTTGCTTTTCTAGGAAAGTAGTTTTGATTTGTTGTAAGAATGCATAAGATAGTGAATCCAGGTGGATTAAGAAATTGTTGAAAACCATCCACCTTTTGCCATAACACAGAAAAATGTGAGACTCCCTCTTAGGGAAGGGTTGGGTGCATTGAAGAAGATAAATATGTAACACAGTGGTCAAGGAGCACATTTTAAAGTTCTGTTTGGGTTGTGAATTTTTGTTTCACACTGTTCCCAAGAGTCCCTAATTAATAACACAGCCCTTTTTCTACCTATTGGAAATGATTGCTCATGTGCTTTATGTTCTGGAATGGGTATAAAATACTATGAAAAATGCCTTCACTATTTAATAGAAAGCCTCAAAGAAAGAAAGTTAATACCATACTCAGATATGTTCAACTTTAGTCAGAGCAAAAATTGAAAAATATAGTTAACTGAAGTTTTAAATTTTTAATATAATATGGTTGTGTAAATGAATACTTTTTTGCTTATGGGAGTATAAATTACTGTAGCTCATCAGAAGGCTAAGAAAACGCATGCATTAATCTGGAGAAGTTGTAGAAAAATCTTCAACATAATTTAATAAGTGAAACATTAAAGGTATTTAAAGTAAGGAATTAACTATACTGTATCATTAAAATGTTCATCCTAGTGCATGGTTATCCATTGTTGACTGGGATTAAAATAGGTTATACAAGTGAATGTATGGGATCCTGTTTCTGTTTGGAAAGCATAGATAATAAAATGTTAGTAGTTATCTCTAAGAAGGGAGATTTTTTCCTGTGTATTCTTATGTCAGAAAAATACACAAATGTCAAAGATGGGTTGCAGTTTATTATATGTTAATTTGGTAATGACTAAAAAGGAACCTTTCAGAAATTAAAAGTGTAACTGTTTAGGCAACCAAATACATAAATTTTTAAAGATCTTGGAATTCTGTTAATGTTGTAGTGGTATTTATTTAAATTAAAATTTTTTTCTCTGATTTTATGAAGTTTATAAGCCTTATTTTAGCTTGTTTCATAGTATAGTATAAAATATTATATAGATTATTACACTTAATATTTTATTCACTTTTTAAATCAATTAGGTAAAGGAGGTAAAAACAGGCGTAGGGGTAAGAATGAGAATGAATCTGAAAAAAGAGAATTGGTGTTTAAAGAGGATGGACAAGGTAACACTTTTTAACTTATTAACATTTTTAAAAACGTAATGTGAATTTCAGTCTAACCTGAAAAAGGATCCTAGTCATAATCCTGAGCATTTTGCTTTTCCTCATTTATAGTACTCTACCCCACCTCTCCCGCATTTGTCTATTAAATAACAAGTTCTAATCTAGTTCTGCAAAGAGGATTAATTGCTGGCATTTCTGTAAATGCAGGGGTTTTTTTGTTTGTTTTTTTGTTTTGTGAAGAACATGTTACAACTGTGAGAATTTTATGGTTTAGAGCAAACTAAGCCTAGAATATTATTAATAAAAATGTCATACTTTAGTGTAAGACGTGAGCAATGTTATGGTTATTCAGTAGACCATGGATATTTTTGAGGAATATATCCTGACTTTTGGGCCCTCTGTTTTTAGTGATGCTAGCATGTTATGTAAAGTGTAATAAAACTGAATAATTGATGAACTCTTTCGGAATAAGGATACAAAGATACAAAATATGAGCTAGAATATTTCTGGAATGTTCCCCCCCCCCCATTTAAAGAAAAAAAGTTAAACCCTCAGAAAAGTTGGATATGAGTGTAACTTCAATACAGTTTTTACCTACATTCACTGGTTTTTAATATTCTCTGCTTATATGTTTTCTGTATGTGTTTACATTTTTTCATAAAGTTTTAAACTTTTTTAGACATCTAATTCCATAGTTAGACTTCAGCCCTAAATACATCAGCATTTATCTCCTAAGAACATATTATTTTGTCATAATTACAGAATTATCACAAGAAATTTAACTTTAACATTTATCCTGTTATAAAACAGACTTCCAGTAGTAAAATAAGTCATGAAGATGAAAAGTACAGCAGGAAATATAATCATTAGAAACAAAACCAAAAAAATTATAGTGTTCTCCAATTCTGTTTAGTGCTGTCCACTATATTAGCCACTAGAGATATGTGGCTATGTTTAAATGAAGTGAAATTCAAATTTTGAATTACTCTGTTCAATATGATTTGTAATGTTTGCATCAACAGGAAAACTTCTATTGAATAATTCTGATTTACTGTATAATATATACTCACATTTCTTGAATTGCTTCAATAATTTCCAGCACTTCCTAACAAAACCGTGGAGTTATTCATGCAATCACAATCTACTAGAAAGTCACTATTTTTATTGTACATATAAAATCTGTTTTCTGTCCAAAATCAGTTACTTTGCCTTCATCTTTGTTACTTCCATTAGGAGTTTGTTTTCAGGGCCAATTTTCTCATTTTCTTCTTGTTTTTTCTTGTTTTTCTTATGTTGAGGAACTGGAGACTCATTGCATAACCTCAATTAGTGTAATCAGTTTGTTGGTATAATTATAAATTAGTCCAAGCTCTCCTTAGTATGGACTTTAGTATTATGAAGATTTTTATAGTAATTATTTTTTTCCTTCTCACTCTTGCTTCGCTTTTGTTGTTTAAATCTAGGAGAGATTGCTCCATACTGACTAGTGCTCTTATCTTACCAGTATTTTCTAGTGACAGTTGAATAAGATGGTTTCTTAAAGACACTTGGTTTTGTAACTATTTTAAACATTTAGCATTTTTTCCTGGAACATCATCCTTGTAATAAGAACTTCAGGATGATCAAGTTATTAAAAAGTAAACAAAAATTTATTAATAACTAACCTACTGTTTTTTACCACTGAAGTTTCTGAAGGAAAGGGGAGCCAAATGTGAGAAATTGATAAGCCAGGATTATGATGTTCATTGTAGAATGAGCAAGTTTGATGTCTAAATGTAGAACATCCAGTCATGAAGATAGAGAAGATTTACTCAAAATTGGTAGATGATTAAAATGTTCATAATAAACAGATAGCATGTCATGGAAAAGGCATTTATGACTTTAGATAATTTATTCTGTAGGCTTTTACTTTAAAAATAAGGTGATAAAGTAGATAAGCATAGCTGAAGAGGCTATAGAAATTGTTTGAAAAATGTGTTTTCTAGTTTGCTTGAGTATAAATAAAATACATCAGATATATTAATGTCTGTTAGATGTGTTAGGATATCACCTTGAAAGAACTCTTTCATGGTAGAATATTTATACTTTTTGTTGATCAAGGCTTAATCCTTTAAAAAAATTTAGTTTGTTCTAAGTCTAGCAGTAAAATTATCACTTGTGTGCTAATTTCAGTTGTTACATTTTAACAAAAATTGAACAGTACCTAATACTCTTTCCCCTTCCCCCCCCAAAGAGTATGCTCAGGTAATTAAAATGTTGGGAAATGGACGATTAGAAGCTATGTGTTTTGATGGTATGAAGAGATTATGTCATATCAGAGGAAAACTGAGAAAAAAGGTAGGTGTGGAGATTTGGATCACTTTAATACAAACTTTGCTGTTAAAAAAAATGGCTCTACTTTAGATACATATGGGTCAAGCAACTTATTTTTGTCAGTTCCTTAAGATTTCAAAGTATAATTTTTTAGATGAGATTGTAATTAAGCAAAATTAGATCCTTGATAAACTTATAGAAGATTTTACATACAAAGAGTTACCTGTTTCTTCTCTATTGTCTGCCAGAAATACTTACTCTGATTGTAATATTGAAAAAACAATCAGATCCAATGTACAAAACAAATGGCCTATACTCTTAAAAATATGTTATACCAGGAAAGAAAGCAAAAAGCTAGATAATTGTTTTAACATTAAAGAAAACTGAAGAGACTGCTAATTATATATAGTGCATATTCCTTTGACTAGATTTTAGCTTGGGAAAAACAGGAGGGAAGTTTGAAATTGGATAATGTTAAATAATAGTGTTTAATTCCTCATCATATAATTCAGGCATATTTATTAATCATGTTGGTTAAAAAATCCTTCATCCCTGATTTTATGATTTAAAACAGTTTTTTTGTTGTGTTAATACGTTGTTTTCCAAATAAATGGTGGGTGTAGAGTCTATATTTATGTATATAGACTGGTGACAGAAGGACTATTAATGTGGATGGCTGATTTTCTTATATTTTGAATAATTGAACACCATTGGAGTAGTTTGTGATTAAAAACTCTTAATTTTCATGACACAAATGATTATTCCTTTAAAATCTTTAAACTCTAGACTACTTGAAATAAAATTATTAATATTTTAACATCCTAAGTCTGAAAATTTGAAACTAACTCAAATTTAATGTAGTTTTTTCCTACTATACTATAACTACATGTAACTAGAATAACTTTGGTTTCATAAGTATGTTTATTTACACAAATAATCATGAATGTGTATGTTGTTGTTTTTCCCTAATTCTTAATAGAAACTTTTTTCCAAACTGGGTGAATTTTTTTTGTGGGAAGAACTGTTTGGCATTCTTTATATTACTTGTTTTTGATTAAATATAGTGTGCAGTAAATTTTCTTTTAATAGGTTTGGATAAATACCTCAGACATTATATTGGTCGGTCTTCGAGACTATCAGGTAACAAATATGCTTAAATTGTATTGTGTCCGTGTATTTAATAAGTCATACATGTTTAGAAGATACAGTATAGACATATTTGATTGGTTCTAGCCAGTTATGCCTGCTCACCATTGAATCATCAAAATTTATTACTGGCCAGTTGTGTTCAGGACATTAGTATTTTCCTAATTCAGAATAATTCCCATGTGTGTTAATGAAACATGTATATTATGAGAAGACTGGTTGGTTCAATATTCTTTATGTATAGTTTTTATTTTAAATGTAATATGCTGTGAATACTCTTTTAAGTTTGGATAAATACCAAAGATTATTCTGTTCTCATTTGTTTAAAGGCCAGTTATATGCTCGGCATTATGCTAGGTATGTCATGTGTTAGGTTTCCAAATACCAGCCTGTGAAATACTGATGTGAAATGAAAAGATATGCAGAGATTGTATGGTTTTTCTTGTGAAGCTAAATTGTGAGCCTCCCTTTTTAAGTATATTTTTAAAATTACCTTTTCTGAAATGAGAGTGATAGTATACATATGGTGGGGTTTTACTAGGGGTAAAATTTTTCTTGTCAAAACAAAAATTTAATACTGTTCTGTTGGGATCCCATCATCAATTTGGTTTTGTTTGTTTGTTGTTTTGTTTTGTTTTTAAATTTAAAGGTCTCAAAATCCATGTCTGAGGAGCCCTGTTATAGGGGAAGCATCTGATAAACCTTTACTTTCCAAAAGGCTTAGTCTAATTGTGGGAGGAAATGTAGTTAGTAGTTACAGTGCAAACTTATATAAGTATATGCTATAAATTTGATAATGAGAACTTACAAAAGAACATAATAGTTGCTGTCTATAATCTCAGCTTTTTGACTATGCACAGGCTGACTCTGTAGCCCTTGAGCTTTCTAGCTGTTGGAACTTCCGATCATATATTTTTAAGCAAATTGTGAGTGATTTCGTTCTGTCATTGTGAAGAGTTTTTGTATATATCTTTTAGATCTAGTTTTATTATATTTGTCTTTTGTTTTCCTTGTTGATCTTTTGTATAATTCTGTTCATTGTAGATAGAGGCATATTGAAGTCAGTTCTACTTTGCATGTCTAGAATTTCCATTAAGAAAATAGCCTATTGCTATTGACTTTTTTGTTTAGTGAGACATTCTCATGATTTCTTTAATATTTTTAGACATGGTTTCTTTAAACACATTTCTAGAAGCTGAGGTAAAGTGTTAAATTCAACTTCTGGATTTATTCAACTGTTTGTGTTGACTATTTATGGGTCACAGTTTACTGTTTTTTATGTGGATCTCATAATATTTTTTTTTCCAAAACTAGAAATTGCAAATACAGTGTAGCAAGATAGGAGATCAGATTTCCTTTCCCAGAGTTTGTTCTTGCTGTTTTTTGTTCATTTAAGTATCTTTTCTGTGCTAATGTTGTATAGTCTGTATTTTTTTCTTACGTGTGCATGTTAAATGATTAGCTTTGTGGACAGTTCATGTTTGGAATGAGGTTTAATTAAAACCAATAAGCCTTCCAGGCTTTGTATATAGACTCTACCTTTGGGGGCCTACAATCAACATTCAGACAATTGACAACTCTGATTTAGTCTTTTTTCATACTTGTCCGTAATTTTAGGGTCAGTCAAAGCTGGGTCATTGGGACTTTCTCAGGTTTATCTTGAGAATGTGTATGGACACAGATGCACACATGTACACACATGCACACACGGAGCCCTGAGCATGTGCTTGATGTGTTTCTCAGTAATATGTTGGACTTTTCAACTGTCTTACAGCTATCTACTGCCAGCTTTTAAAGTTGGTCTTTTGGTTTTGTTTGCCTTGACTGTTACCAGTTAGCCATTACGATGTTATAAAATTGCTAGATTACTTTTTAATAAAAGCCCCCAGGGTAAAAATAATAGTGAATGAACTCTTGATAATATAAAATAAAGAAAAGCCCTACAAGTCATAATTTCCAGGAACTACCAGACAGTCCAAACACATTTTCTGTCTCCAGTTGCTGCTAGTATGGTGGTTTTCATGGCTACACAGAATTGGGGGAAGGGATGGGAATGGAACAAGGTAAAACACTAAAAAATTTGTTTGTACTCTTTACCCATCTATAAACTCTCAGACTATTGCAAGCAATTGATAATTTGTGTATTCTGATAAAATGGATTTTGATAGTTTTTGCCAGTGTTCTCTGGTTTTATGAAGGAACAGATTCATTTCTGTGTCTCCCTGCCTCATTCCCACCTTTATTGAGATATAATTGATATGTAACATTGCGTAGGTTTCATGTATAGGTGTGATGACTGGATACATTTATGTATTGCAAAATAATTCCCACTATAACATTAGTTAACACCTCTCATCTGTGATACAGTCACAGTTTTTTTGTGGTGAGAACGTTTAAGGTGTATTCTTTGAAAACAATTAAATGTGTAATATGTTGTTAACTTTAGTCAACGTGCTAATCATCAGAACTTACTCATTTTGTAAATGGAACTTTGCATCCTTTGACCAACATCTCCTGAGTTCATCCAGACCCACAGCCTGGTGACCATCACTCTACTGTTTGTGCTTTCTGCTTCTTTTTGGAATCCGCATTTAGTAAGATCATACACTGTTTCTCTGTCTGGCTTTTTTCACTTAGCGTAATGCCTGCAGTGTTCATCTGTGTTGTTAGAAATGGCAAGGATTTCCTTTCTTGTGGCTGAATAATTTTCCTGTGTGTTTGTGTGCATGCACGCATGCGTGTGTGTGTGTGTGCCATCTTTATTCATCGGGTGATGGATAGATACTGTTTCTGTGTCTTGGCTATCATATGTGGGGTGCACATAACTCTTTGAAATCCTGTTTTTCATTTCATTTGGTTGTATATGCATAGAAGTGTGATTGCTGGATCATATGGAAGTTCTGTTTTTAAATTCTTTCTAGTACCTCCGTAGTGTTTTCATTAGTGGCTTTACCAATTTACATTCTCACCACCGGTACAAGGGTTTTTTCTTTTCTCTGTGTTTTTGTCACCATTTATTACATCTTTTTGGTAATCGCTCTTCTAACCAGTATGAAGTGACATTTCATTGTGTTTTGATTTGCATCTTCAAGGTATTGAGTACCTTTTCATGTACCTGTTAGCCACTTGGTTATCTTTGAAAATTGTCTATTCAGGAATCTTTGCCTGCATTCTAATATAAGATTTGTGTGTGTGTGTGGGGGGGGTTGTTCTTTTTTCTCTTGAGAGTTGTTTATTTTGCATGTTAATTTCTTACCAGATCATTGGTTTGCAAATATTTTCTCCCATCCTGTAGGTTGGCTTTTCATTTCTGTTGAATATCTCCTTTGCTGTGCAGAAGTTTTTCAGTTTGAGGTAGTCCTAATGGATTTCGTTTATTTTCTTTTCCTTTTTTAAATATACTTTTGTTGCTTGTGCTTTTGGTGTCATTAAAAAAATAATTGCTAAGTCCAATGTCAAGGAGCTTTTCCCTGTTTTCATTCATTAGTTTTAGAATTTCAGGTCTTGTTTTTTTTTTTTTTCTTTGATCCATTTTGAGTTAATTTTTATGAGTGTTGTAAGAACGGACTCCAGTTTCATTATTTTCTGCATGTGAGTATCCAGTTTTCCGGGTGCTACTTACTGAAGAGTCTGTTCTTAATTGAGAAATTAAGAACATTTGGTTCCCTTCTCTTGGTTCTTGGTTCCCTTCTCAAGTAGTAGTTGACTTGATATATGAAGATTTATTTCTAGCCTCTTCATTCTGTTATGTTGATCTATATGCTGTTTAATGCTGGTACCATACTGTTTTTATTACTGTATTTTTCTGGTGCAGTTAAAATCAGGAAGTATGATGCCTGTAGCTTTGCTCTTTTTGAAGATTGCTGAGGCTATTTGTATTTGTTGTAGTTTTGTTTTAGGGTTTTTCTCTCTGTAAAGTAAATACCACTGGAATTTTGATAGAAATTACATTAAATCTATAGATTGCTTTTGAACTATGAACAGTTTAAC